GATCAGGATGGATTTCAGCCAAATGTAAAGGCTGAGAGCCTCAAGCAGGTTTAAGTGAGTTTGACTGATTTCTGTGCAGTTATCAACTGAGATTTTGGTCCAGTGACTTCATGATATTTGGCCTTGGATAACACATGTTATAACAAGGACGCAGGACCTTGGCAGCAAGTGTATCCCAATCCCACTTCATTAAGATAAAGTTTTAGAAATTGAATTGGTTTTGAGTCTGAAGAGGCTGGTTCTTCCTCCCCAGCATCTCTGCATCACATTACTTCACTGAAAAAAGCACAGGGAAAAGTCAAACACTTTGCAAAAGAACACAGACATTTGAATTTAATAAATTATAAAATTAAAGATTCTAATTTGTATATACATTTTTAATATACAAGAAATGGCTATTTATTGCAATTTCTGTTAAGGCATATGTAAGTGAATGGAAGTTGCATATAGATATTCAGATGAACATAGCTAATACTGTGCATTGTAGGTGAGTAAATAAGACATTAAATGCATTACGTAATAAAATAAAACATAAAACCCTTTGAGTACTGGTAAAGCACCATTTCTAGAATTCTCAAAATATCTGAAAGCATTCTATGGAGATGTTGTGAGACTCTAAATATTGAATGGATATATGAACATAAAAAGTGATGCATTCGTAATAGATTACAGAATTTTTTAAAGGAATGTTGGTGAAAAAAATGGCAGTAGATTGGAGCCAAAGGAACCAGAATTGGTTTGGGATCTTTTGGTTTTTCATGAGGCGCTGTCACTTGGATTTTAAATTTGGACCAACAGAAAAATGACAATTTAGAAAGCTGTGTACTTGCATGGTGAGATCACAAAATGCACTGCTTAACGGGAGCACCTTGCTTTAGCTCTCAGATCTCTGAGATGGTCTCTGCGGGAGTACATTTACTTACAAATCTGCTTTAGTTTCTGGGGATTGCGTTACATTACAATACCACACTCTGCTCATTATGTCTCAAAATTCAGTACCTGGGCAACAGCAAAACCGTACAGAAGACACACTACGATGATGCTCTTACCCAATTACAGCATTGTAGAAAAGAGGAAACATTGTCAATCTTCAACCAACGAAAAAAATGACCAAAATTTCTACTGTATGACATGGAATGAAGATCAGCTGAGAGCAAAACCCCACCTATTGCCTTGGGCTGCTTTTTCTCTATCAATAGAGTTCTATTCTGTGTTTTCCAGTAGAAGTGAGGTACATGTTCTTCAGAAATGACCACCATGGGGAACTGCTCAAAAAAACACCTTCTGAAAAACTCATGCTGGCTTGAAATGAAGGCATCTTTCCTGGTCTGAAGAGACTTTTTTTCCCCCTCATACAGCAAGACTGTAAAGAGAAGGCAGCTGGTGGTCCTGCTCCATAAGGAGATGGACAAGTTTGTGTCCATCACCATCTCACCGTCTTGAGCAATCTGGACTGAAATATCATTTCAGTGTCCCCCAAATAACAACTAGAGAAATATTTAGTAGAATTAAAACCAGCAAGAAATAAATCAAATTAAAATCTTCCAAAATCTAAGAGACTGAGAAGGGAGCAAGCCCTTCCTAAATGCTGACGCCACTAGGCATTGCATCGAGTCCCTAATGAACACCAGACCTAGCGTAGCACCACACCAGCCTTCTGGGAGGCTGCTCCTGCTCCAAGACGCAGCAGAAGTTTCCACCTTAACCAAAAGGTGGAAAAAACCATTTGGAAAAAAACTTTTTTTTTTCCAAAAAATATTTTTGGTTTGATTGCAAACTGACTCACTCTAGAGCAAGAAAAAAAATGGTTAAGTTCCTGAACTTTGAACCAGCTTTGCAAGTTCAGCCAGGGCATCCATGCCATGCGTGAGCGAGCGAACCCCTGCGAATTGACCTTGCCCAGGCTACAACAGTCCTGGCCGCTTGAAATGCTGAGCACAGAACCGTCCAGTCCTTTCTAAACATTTGGTCACCACCCCGGAACAGGCCTTTCCTTGTCCTCTTTGCAGAGAGGTCACTTGAAGTTGCACCCAATAAATTCCTGCCCCACTTGCTATTGGGACACAACTTGGAAGTCCTTTGGACAGAAGAGGCTATTTGTGAGACAGCATTTGAGCTGTGGGCACTTCCTCCCGTGGCATTTCTTCACGTTGCCTGGTTGACCAAATCTATTGCAGAAGCTAAGGAAGAACAGAAGCTATTGGATGGGTTATCTCAGGCTCCTCGAGGTCAGAGAGATGAGTCTCCACAAAGTCCCAGAGAATAAGACCGGTACCATCCAGGCAGCAAACTTCTACCTCCCCATCTGTGTAACTTCAAGCCCCAACCCCTCTCTACCCTTGGGTTTGTGAGAGTTTTTCTTAAGTTTATCATATGCTTGGATGTGCTTCTAGGCTATGAAAAAGCTGGGGCTTGTGGTTTATTTTGATTGTCCACAGAGCTAAAAGCAGGATAATAACTTCAAGGGGAAAAGATGAGTTTTACACTACCCACATCTCTGTAAAGGAAGTGTGGAAGGCAAGAATGGCAATGGCAGAGCAGCTGGAATGATGATGATTTAGACACGTCTTCCTTGCTTATAAATAGTATGGTGGTGTTTTTTTTCCTTCAGTGCTCATTACTACATTGCTCTGTTTTGCACAGACATGACCTGACCCTACCCTGTTACTAAAACTTGTCCTGTCTGTAGGTAACCACAAATCCCTTGGCACAAGGCTCCTGGGGCCAGCACCACGCTTGCCCATGCATCGTGGCTCTGTAACAGCATGGAGCAGGGCTGGGGCGAGTGAAGGCTACCACGTGGGCAACTAAAGATAAGCAACCTCAACTGCAGGAAAACGCTTACTGTGTCACAAGGTAAAGTCTGAGGGGAGACTCCTGCCGCTGCCTCAGCCAACTGCTGCTCAATGCTGCCAAACTGTGGAGCTTTAGTTTTACTTTTCAAAAACCAGAACAGATTCATTTGTTGCTCACGCTAGCTGCTGCTTTCCCATCTGCAGCCACATCTGCTTGGCCCAGGAGATGCTTCCTAGTGCTCTGGACTTTTACCAGGCCCGTTGTGCTTCCCGGTCTTCATGGTCTTCAGTGTAACTCCCATCCCTGTACTATCATCTGAGCTGCTTCTAAACACTCACCCAAGTGTATCACCCCAGTCCTCTGTAAGAAGGGATGCTTGATGCCATCACACCAGCTGAAAACATTCCTTCTCTGCTTTGACTAGTGTTTCCACAAAGTATTTTTCTTAAACCAGGTCTTGTCCTTCAAAGACTTCAGTTCCTGCAGGCTCTCACCTCCTTTCCAGCAGATCTGGCTTGTTGAAGAGGAGACTGGGCAGCTCATTCAGCGGTGGTGGTTGAGGGCAGAAGGCAGGGTGGCAGGAAGCCACATGCAGTTCACCTTGCAATACTTCTGAAGCTCTTTGCCAGCACCTGGGTCACAGAAGAGCTTACATGTTGCTGGAAACTCAGCACAATCCCAATAATTATGTGACTGTATATATAGGCTCATTACTGGCGCTGCTTCAGACTAAGACCAGCTCAGGCTGGAGGATAAGATTTTATTCTCAGACTGGAAAATCTGAACTAGGAGCTGTCAGACCTACCCACAGAGGTAAAAGGAGGATTTCAGGGAAGCCCTGGGCTCTGCGGGAGGTTTACCAGCAAAGAGGAAACAAATGGAAGACTCCAAGCCAGGAGACGGAAGAAAAACTGCAGGAACAAGTCCATGTTCCCTGTCTCGGCGGTGTTAGAGCCAAGCTGAATTCATCTTCTGATCTCCAGTGAGGAATTCAAAAAGACCTATGAAAGCCATGCTGACCCTGAGGGGAAAGGAAGTACTCAAAGGGTTGTCAGGTTACGCATCTTAAAGTTTCTAGCAGACCTGATACTGTGAGTACACGTGTGTGGGTGCGTACGTGCGTGTATATGTAACGGGCACAGCAAACAATTGTTCACTTCTTTCTGCACCAATAAAGCTGTCCTAAGGAAAGGAAGATAATACAGAATTACTTCCTCCAAAATAAACTTGTCCTATGGGAGAAAAACCAATGTTTTCTTAACAAAGCACCAAAGAAAAGGCAACAAGAATCCAGTCATCTTTAAGTTAAACAGTATGTGGGTAGAAAAAAACCCCAGACCAATAAAAAAAAGCACCAACCAACAAAGATCACTGAGGCTGTTGCATTACAGGAATTTAAAGACTATCAAAAATACGGATAACTGTAAACAGAAAGACTAGGATGTTATCAGTCCGAGTTGGCCGGATCTACCCTACTAAATGTCTTGCATGTGTTCAAAAGTTTAGGAGAATCCTTTGAAATTGTTTATGGAAATATGTAAACTACTGTTTGCCAGTTTTTATTTTACACATAAATATATGGCTACAGAATTTTCTATATATTTTCTTATGCAGTCCTGGCTAAGAAAGCTATGTAAGCACATGCCAAGCTGTAACCACAGGAGCAGCTCTGCCAAAGCCAGATGAACTTAGTCTGGCATGTCCTTAAGTACCTTCCTGAACCAGGGGCTGAGTTAGTGCCCAGGTTTATGCAATGCACAGAAGCATCACAGGATTGCTGACCACCTGCTTGTCAGTGTTAAAGGGATTTATTATGTCTTGGGACTGTTTTCCTCCATCCTAAGTGTAACTCCCATTACTATTCCCAAGCAATTTTACACAGGCATAGAAGACTTAAAAGAGCCCATAAACAAGAAACCTGCTAACCTGGCCTAGGTATTACGGTTTGTTTGGATTCAGTGAAATGCTGTAATGATATTGCACTAATACTCTACCATACCCTGTAAACCTAGCCGTCAAAGTGTTCAGATTAGCACTTATGAAACAATCTGTCATTTCCATTTATAGTAGGCTTTAGAATTTGGCATCTCTGCCATAGCACCACTTTGATTTTTCCCCATTTTTAGTCTCTATGACATGGGCAATACTAGGATGTTGGTAACATCTCTATAAGAGAAAAACGTTTTTTGTGCCATATTTCCATTTTAGTTTGTTTTTCTAAGAGTCTCTCTTTTCCTTTTCTCAGCAATCAGCTCCTGAATTCTTTGATTCCTTGTCCTTTCATAAGGTATCCTCCTCCGTGTAATGATGTTGTGCTGCGGTACTTCATTATCCAGCCCATCGATTTTATAGGGAACATCCACGGCATTGATTTCTGGGTGCTCCTCAGTTGCATTGGAAAGAGGTGCATGTGTTTTGGGAACGGGAGGAGGGCTGGTGGTGGTAGACTGTGTGGTGGGCACTCCCGTGGGAGGGCTGAGGGTTGTCAGGAGCTCCTCCTCAATGACATTGTTCTTATTTACGTTAGAATCGGTTACATTGCCTTCCTCTGTTATGTTGCTGTACATATTACAGGACTTGCAACACAGCTTATTGTAACCAGGAATCGAGCAGTAACGCGAGAGAACCTCCATGCGACAAAACATTGACTTGTCTCCTTGACAATGATCTTCTGAAAGAGAAAAAGGGAACAGATAAATAAAGAGCATCTTCACGTTAATCAGAAAAAGAAACACAGCTGAAGCTTTGGCAGTGGGCAGAGGGTTTGGTATTTAAAGTGGGATGGGAAACTGGCAAATGAGCCTTCTACAAGCAGAAGCAGGCTTAATATTAAACCTAAAACTCAACTCACTTCAAGGGATGCAAAAGCTGATCTGAACTGTTTGTACCAGCCCCATCCACGCTATAGACTGTAACACTCCATTTTTTGGCTTTGCATTTCCGAAGTGCTACCCTGAAGACCGTGCACCCACGATGAACTGTGTTCCTGCCTTGGCTTAGAGTTCAAAACACACCAATAGTGCTGTGTTGTTGCTAAAGCTACATTAAACCCCAGAAAGTCATCAAGGTTTATAATTGAGTAATCTTCCCCCGTCGCTTCGCTCCTTTTAATGCTTTTCTGCAACCTAATGGTGAATAACCGTGGTCAGGGGTAATTTATATTTATCTGGACTACCTCAGGAAAGTCAAGTCTTACTTCGATGTGTACCATGTAACTCTCAGAATGAATCCATCTCCCATTGGAGTGATATTTTTGCCAGGTACCTCTATTCTGAAAACAGCAGCATTGCCTAAGTATGTCCCTCGCTCGAGAGAAAAGTGGTGCGTTTAGCATAAGGCTTTTCGCCTCCTCCTAGAAGGGAGCTGATATTTTCAGAACAACAAACGCCAGTACGATGGAGCCAAGTCAGTCCATTAATGACTGGAAGACTCTGTAACAAATCCCAATTTTTGTGTCACTGACTGGAAAACTATAATAAAAGAGAAAGAACGATAATCAATAGGTTTTAAGCTGTCAATGGCTGTTATGACAATCTGTAGTATAATAGAGGCGTTATCCTGGTGGCAAAATGTAGGCTAAGGCCTTAAAGGTGAAGTGGTCAAACGGTATTCCTGTCTGAGAAACATAAACAGAAGCCTACTCAGAGATTACTCAAGCCCTTGTGATTTCTGCTTGGAGGAGGTAGAGGACCCTATGAATGGGTGGCAGATGGACAGTGAGGCTCCTTGGAGAGAAAGCTACCTGTCCTCTGTCCTACACACATGCTCTACAGCTCCTGGGCCTCCAGGCTGAAGTGATGGAGCCAGGAACTATCGGGAACTGCAGTGAAGGAAAAATCCCAACACACAGCCCATACTGAAAGAAAGAGGAATCAGAGGGCTTGGAGAAGAGGAGAGGGCTGAGGGGAAAGGCAGACTGACCAACATTTGGCATAATCAGTACCAAAATATTTTCTCTGTGACCAGAGTGCTGAGACAGAGATGAAATCACTTCTGCCTCTCTCCCTGCTCTTACTACATTTCCACCTACTCTTACAGTAAAGGATGAGTAACTCCAATTACTCGCCTTTATTTAGAGCGTACCCGATGGCAGGCCGCGTGCTCAAGTCAGCGTGTTACTGGAGCTCGTATTTCACCATCCTCCTACAAACCCTGACTTACCCTGTCAGCAACCTGACAGCAAAGTAGAGAACCAGAGCAGATTCAGAGATACCAAGTGAACTCAGAAAGTGTAAGTGCCGCTTCTTCACTCATCCTCAGTTACCAAAATAGGGCATTATAGGTGTTTAATTGGCAAACATATCAGTCTAAAATAAACTAATAATGGTTGCTGCTGCTTTAAAAAGTTCGTGCTAGCTGAGGAAGGTGGAAACACCTTCCTTGCATTGTATTTATGCCCTGATTGTTGCACTTGTTGCAGAAAGTAAAATTCTGGCTCCTATTTTCAAATATGACAATTCGTTTTCATATTTTTCAAATGCTAAACTGAGATGCTGCTGAAAATAAAGAACAACTCCTTCCTTAGGAACTTAAGAATAGTACCTTGGTTTTGGAGACATTTTCAAATCAGTCTTTTAAGAGCTGAAACTGTTCATATCTGCATGTACAACTCTACACAAAGGACTGCATGTGCCTATACAGCTTTATGTATATTTTTACATACCACATAGAGTCTCCTTTGAACATGTTGCCTTGTGTTACATGACCTTAATGCAAGCTTCTCCAAATGGTTTGCAAAATAGAAGCCAACAGATACAATATGCGAATGTAGTTTCAACAAGGCAGACCTGACTCTTGGCTTTGTAAGAATCACTAAAAGCACCTTTAGAAAAATGCCTTTTTTTCCTATCAAAAATACGTAATGTTAAGCTTAAAAATACATTAAAATAAAAATGCATTATGTAATATGTTTACTGACATCTGATAAGTTATATAAATAAACTGTGTAACTTATGAATGTCAGAATGAAATTTTTATCCTTTATCCAAACCAAAATATCCAGATTTGCTGAACTTTTATTTATTTTTACTTGCAGTATGCATGACAGACTGGAAGTATATCTTCAAAACATCAGTAAGAAAAAAATAAATCAGTTTCACAGTCACTTTGGTACACATTAGTCTCATAAAAAAATATTGAAAAGCAAACTGAATTGGCACATCTTTAATATTATGTTAAATACATACAAAACACTAATAAAATATCCCTGATAAACCAAAGTGCATATAGACATAGTGCACAATGCCCAGATACCTTATTGCACCATTCTCTATAGCCACCCATCTCTTGAAACATCACTAAACATTGTCTATTTAAAGGTAACAGTCATGAATATATTTATACAGTTAAACACCAATTATTTTACATAACAGTATTCAGTGCCAGATATGTGTCTTTGCTTTTTCACCTTGTCATGTAAATTGTTAACATGTTTCAGGAAATTATCATATTAACAGCAAAATTTAAATATGTGATCACATGATAATGACAAGTTTGAAGTGCTACACTGTTGACGACCCAAAGATTCAAAAATGCCACTTTTCCAAAGAACATGATCAATGCAATAAGGTAGTAATTTGCTCCAAGACTGCAGTTTTAAAGTTGACACGCTTCTACTATTGGTACTGACCGTCACAAACAAGTCTATGACTTGTGAATTCCAAATCTTCCACACAAACACGGAAGGTGAAGCAAGAATGCCAGTTAAATTTCAGTAAGTCAGGTCACAATCCTGTCTTGATGAAGATATGGATATGCACTGTGCAAATTAACCCCGGTTTAAATTTACTGCCTTCTAATAGTTATCATTCAAGTAAAAACACTCCATATGAAGATTAACTCAAGGTACCAGTGTACTGTTCATATTTAAAGCTGGATCTGGTAAATTAATGCCATTTACATTTCAACATTAAGGCATTTTTCTAAAATTCGTCTTCTAAGCAAAAAAAGCAATAAAAATTGAGGTAATTCTGTAGTAGTTCACACTGTTATGTTTGCCAGTTGACACATCTATAGAGCACACACACACACACGCACAACCGTACCAGTCAGGTCAGACATGCACATGGTGAAAAAAGACCAAAGATGTAATGAGTATAAACAGTTCCATGCTGAGCAGCTGGAGACATCGTAGTCGATGAAAACATTATATTGCCTCCGCCAGGTTAAGAAAAACACCACCATGCAACCTTCAACATGGACCGTGCCTGTTCTGCTTCAGTTTTGTTTCTAAAGTGAAAGTACGCAAAACTGGCAAAAATGGTGCGATGGGAAAAATGAATGCAGCTTTTCTCAAGGAAAAATATTTCAAACCACCACCAGGAGCTTGGGAAGAGTGGACCACGTCATAGCAGCATGGAAAGTACCGACAGAAACTGAGCTTCTGCTTCCCAGTGAGCCCTCCACGGGTGACAAACATAAATGTGGGGGTCAGGAATAAAAAACAAGCAGCAAGGGTGAGTAAAGCAATGGCACCGCAAAGAAAAATGGAATGAAAAAATTCTTTCACTCATCGGACTACCCTGTCAGTGAACTGAAACTAGAGAGTTATGAGATTTAGGGTTTTTAGATAAAGGAGAACTTTAGCACTACAAGGTGTCATTATTGTGATGTGATCACATTCACAATAAGTTCTCAGTTTTGCTATCAAACTGAACGTCATGAACCAGTAAGAGCCTTTTTTCACCATCACCAAGCAACAAGCAAACCGATCCCAGCTCCCTTGCAGAGGACTGCAACATACTGTGGAGATCCAACTTCACACATCCAACACTTCGAGACCTCCACCACCAGTGCTATGCAAGCTCCAGAGAAGAAAGACACCGAGCACCAAGTGCCTGGTGTGAAAAAAAGATTCAGCCCAAGATTTAAACTTGGCAAAGTCAAGGGAACTTTCCACATAGAGAGAAGAAGAGAGCAAAAGGCAAAGTCCACATTCGATGTGGCATGCATTTAAGGGTAAAGGCAGAGTTATAAATGGGTCTTTTACTTGAAGATATTTTCTGGATGGGGTAGTCTGGATCAGGTCTTGACAGCCATTGTATCATGTAGGTTTTCTTCGAAGGATCAGAAACGTTTCCTTGAATAGAGGAAAAAAAAAAAAAAGATGTAACTTAACATATGTTAGCATTAAGTAGTTGACCTGTCAGAAATGGATAAGCTAAGAGAGTGAGTGGGCTCTGATGGTGAAGGAACTCAGGGCAGGATTATGACCGGCTGTGTAGTTTTGGGCAGAGGGTGCTGTTTTACCAGTTTGCTACAACTTGTGCTCAGCACTTGACAGCCAACACTGAAGACAGCCTGAAGGCCAGTTCTCCAACAGTACCTCTCACAGCAGCACTAAGTATGTCCTAAGATACATCCAGTCTAGTTTAGTTATACTGCCTCTTTAAAATCTTTATATTGGAGACCATAATTGACAGCTTGGTTCTAATTAATTAGGAATCAACATCTACCCTGAGAAATACATCGGGAATAAAAGAAATACATGAATTATTTAATAATAGGAATATGTAAAATGATCTCACAAGTATCATTTGCAAACAGCTGAAGAGCTAACAAGGATAAAGGCATTAGTGTTCTGGATTAAGTAGCGACAAATTTATTATAGCTTAAAAAAATTCAGTCAGATAGCCCCTGAAGATAACTTGTGCTTGACAGAATGGAAAAGAAGCCTGGAACTGTTGCTGGAGATCGGGAAAGCAAAGAGGCATCTTTATACATGATGCCCTTGATTAGCCACAACCCAGCAGCCTCTTGCCAAGCCCAGCACGTCTCAGGGGCACAGGGCCAGACTTAGGCAGCGCTTCTCACCCAGGGGAGCTGGCCAGATCCAGCCATCACCTCTGTCTGCTGGCCAGATCCAGCCATCACCGCCGTGCTGGGGTCTGCCCCAGCCTCTCATGCTGTCCTGGGGCAAGTGGTGCTCCTCACCATGAGGAGAGAACAACCACATGCCCAAGAAGCCCATCGGCCACACAACAGCTCTACATTTGGAAAGTCTGATCAAAACTGGGCCTATGGAGAACTGCCACCCCAGGCAGCTGTAGCACACAAGTATAAACTCGATGAAGGCATTTCAAATAAATACAATCAACATAATTTTTTTCAGCAAATAATATATGCTAGAGAAGACAAGCACTTACTTGGACACGGAGGTAGTCTGCAAATCCTTACAGTCTCTGGTTTATTTTCTTTACAAAAGCCGATAGCATTGTCCCTGGTCCGGCACAGGACCGGGCGATCCTGCGTGCCATTGCCGCAGCTGACAGAGCACTGAAAGGAGATGCACCAGTTAGATCCCCAGCCACCCTCTGGAAACAATGGATTAGAAATTAGTTTTTAAATTTTAAACCACTGCCCTTGATTTGAGTCAACATGGTACATCATTTGAACCACCGCAACACCTACAGTAACTAAGCAAGAGGGAGAACCACTGCTTTTTGTGGTATACCGGTAATTATGATAAACACCCCAAGAAAGAGCTTATGGTCTGAGCAATAAAGAAACAACTGTAAATGTGAGGCATGTATTCACAGTGTGCACCAGGGATGGGCTTGCTTGTGACACCTATTCAACCCAGTGAGGACAAATATTATTCTTGCTTATTTGCATGGCACAGTTCCAAAATAAAATGTTGAATCTCCAAATGCAGCCACGTTTTTTAAACAATTTAATGGAGAAATGCTGAGATGAACTGCAAGGATCCTGTGTATCAAAATTATAAGAACAATTTAATGTTGCAATATTCTACTCGTATTTCTTGCCTTTTGATGATTGCAAAGGTTTGCAAATATGACTTGGTGGAGCTTCTTACTGCTCTAGTAAATACTTTAGCAAGAAACAGTCTGTGCACAGTGCCGTTGTACTTCTTGCTCACACAGTGAGTTAGCCAAAGAGCCGGGGATGGAAAGCACAAAATGCCCATCTCCTGACACTCATTACGGGAGTGACTGAACCTTGTTTTGCCCATAGCAATGGCAAACAAAAAAAGGTTCATAAGTAGGTGCTCTGTACTTCCATAGTAAACCAGGTGAAACACTCTGTCCTTTGGGTTACGGACAGAACCTTACGAGGCTGAGTAGCTAAGTCTGCTTAAGGCCTTTACGTCGAAGATGTTCGCACTTTTGAACCTCCACGAGTGTTGGTGCCTAACTTCCTTAGGTGCCCATAATCACAGGGTCTGAAGACTTTAAAGTCTTCTTTATTTGAAAGAAAATAAAACAGTGATAAAAAAATTAAATGCCCTTCTCTCAGCTTAAGTCAACAGGTAAATGATTGTGAGCAGAATAAAGAGCAGGTAGAAGTCAGCTTTCTTGATGCTGACATCTTATATGGGTGGCTCACAGGGTCTGGATCATCCTGCACCTCTGCAGGATGGCTTTGCTGGCTGTTTCACTACCACCATCTTTCCATCTAACTCACTTTCTGTGGCATCAGTAGCAGTGGAAGCAATACACCCTCTGCGTAGGTATTAGTTTATTGTGTCAATGCATTTGCATAGAAAGCACAGAACACACCCCAAGATTTTCTCCCCTGCATTACTAGAAAGTAGCTGCTTGAGACCTCCAGAAAGAGACTGACCTGTGACCAGGGTCCTATTCTCCACTGCGCTGGGCAAAGCTCCCGGTTGCAAGGCCTCCTGCCTTCTGGACGATCGTTGTTGCAGTACTTGGTATGAACAGACCGATTTGTATTATCATGTAGGGGTTGTATACATCGGACAGATCGTACTTGATATCCTGTCTTCCCACAGCTTTTGCTGCAAGGCTCCCATTCTCCTGTAACCCATCTGGGTTATTGAAAAGAGACTAAGTTGAGTAAAATTCTCTCTCTCCTAAGTTAGGTGAGTTCAAACTGTCTGTTGAACTGTAACTCTTAAACACAGGTTTACCAGGATGTTAATACTAGTTCTGATATGGAAAAAAGATATGAAAACCCATAAGCAGTTATGTGAGGGTTATTTGATTATGTACCTGAAAAAATCAGTAATAAGACCCAGATCTTAATAATGACTCTTTCTCATTATCTCTGAGGTAAGCATTATTCTTACTTTGCTTCATTTGCTTTGATTTTAAGCTGGCCCTTCCAAGATTGCACATAAAAATATGGTAGTTTTTATGTCAAAAGCAGCCACCCAAGGGTGCTGCTGAGTTTCCCGGGTCTTGGCAGATGAGCTGTGCCTTGTCTCGTAATGTAGCACGCACCAGCCGTCCCCATAGCTGGTTCCCCCAGGAATGAATCCAAAATATCTGGACTAGAAATGCAGCTCCAGCCTGGCCCGTATCTAGATACTCCATGGACCACATCCCTGGCCATACCAGACACCATCTGCTGAAGCACTGGCAAACCCAGCTACGTTGTCAGTGCTGTGGTGCTGAGCTCAGGCAAATCAGGGTCCTCAGCATCGTAACTGTTTGGTTTTGGAGAAGGCAACACTCCACTGAAAATCAGAAGGTCTGAGTTCATAATGTGTAAATCAGTTTGGCCACTGAAAAAATGAAACCTATGGTTTGTAATGTGGCATAGTTGAAAACTTTGCTGATCATCCAAACCGGCTCAAGAATTACAGCTACAAATTGTAAGGAACTTAGAGAAGAGCAACAAGGACAGACAGGACCAGAGGAAATTTATGCAGACTATTGAAAGCTAGGTTATAGTAAGTAAGTGAAGATATACAGCAGCCTATAAATATTTACAGAATGTAGAGATCAGCAAGAAGGAAATATTGTTCAATATAAATGGTATTAATTGGATAAACTTAACAAAAAAATACATACAGTCTGAAGAAATACCCCGAGTTTGAAGCAATTGTCCTAAAGTACTCATAAAATCCCGGGTTTAGAAATAGCCAAGAAATAGCATGGGCACAAGGCAATGCACTAAACGCTCGAGTTGTTAAATAAAAAGTGGCAATTTCACCCAACTTTCTCTTTGTAGGCTATTGAAATTACACAGCTGTGGAGGAAGGCGAGCACTGTGGAGCACAAAGCCATGAATCCGAAGGTAATTTCTGATATAAAGACGATTTTTTCCCAGTAGTGAAGCAGCACCATATTAGTGTAGTGGGTGTCACAGAGCTTCATAAAATCTCTTAAATAATTGCCTCTCCTATATACAAGTGCAAAATGCTTCAATGCCATTCTATGGAAACAGAGGTGACTGAAACATTCAGGAATCCAAGTACAATTTAGGATCCTATTGAGTCTTTGTGGTACCTGGGTCCAATTATATTTGCAGCTGAAAGAAGAATACAGTCCTTTCCAGCAAGCCTGAGATACGGTTAGGTCATTACTTCAGTTTTCCAATAAATAAATGTTAAATCCTGACCCATGCTGAGTTTATGGGGCACAGTTTCTTGACTTTTCTCTCCCTCAAATTTTTTTTGAAAGGAAGTTAGGAAATATTATGTGGTAAGTTCTATTTATTTGCTGTGCTTTCTGGAATCTAGACTTGGTCCCCAGAGGCAAAAGCTGGGATCAACATACTCTTTTCTTGTTGCAGTAGCAACACCAGGAATACGAGTCCTACATGTGGCAGGAGTAACCCATTACCAGTCAAAAAAAGCACCTGTAAAATGTGAATTAAAATATTTGTAACACTTGACTATATGTAGCAAAGATGAAGGAACAACAGGCATACCATGCTGTACGAGAGCAGCCAGAGAAATCTAACAAGTCAAATATTTTTCCCTGTGTTTAAATGTCAAAAAATATGCTGTGAACTTTAGGAAGATTTGGATTTGAGAGGCTGTATGACATTGGTTTTCTTATACAGCACTCTGTAAATTTGTTCTTACATGCTTACTTCACACTGTGTAAAATCAACTGGTATAAATCGAATTTACGTCTATTTTTTATTACCTCAAGATGGCCCAAACACAAATGTCTGGATCAAGATAGCACTTCTTTTCTAGTCCAACTTATTTCAGAAGTAATAGGAACCAGCAGGCCCAGAAATAGTATTTCTACAAGCAGAATATAGCATCGCATCCTCCCAGTCCTGGCTCTCTGTAACGATGAATGGAGGTGAAGCTTAAGTCACCTTCTTTCAGGTGACAAGCGCTAGCTGGGTACAATGCCTACTGCAACCGCCATCGAGCAGTGCTGGTGGGCAGTGATGCTTACATGGGCTGGGAGCACTCCTGGAGGTTGCACACCCTGCGAATGGGCTTAGGCTTTTGGATCAACTCGCAGTAACTCCGATGAACCATCTTGTGATCTGTCTTCCTCCGGCAGCCGTATTTTGTGAATTGGTAGCCTGAAGAAAGACACTCCTCTTATTTTCAGTACTGGTAGATCTCACACAGGGCTCAGGTTTCAAACAAATTGCACATACACTGTCAAACGTTGCAGTTGGAACTACAGGTGAACGTGCTACAAAAGGAACTGTAAATTGCACCAAATAAACACTTACTCATGTAGATTTAGCACCTAGAATTGCTCATCCCCTTTATTTTTAACTACGGGCTATAATAAGAAAAACATCATCTAGCATTTCAAAACCTTTCTGCAGACCTGCACAGCCACGCTCCGACGCTGCAATCTGACCATCAGCCTGGTGAACAGCATCAGGGTATGCATCTGGCCCCAAAAGCAGAGGTCTTACACGGCAAGGTCCTCATCACAGGATACAGATTTACTAAGAGCTGCCCTGCGGCACCTTGAGGTTTGGCACCCTCGCAGCTTGGAGACCCTTGTCCAAATCTTGCACATTTGTACAATTTTTCAGTTTCACAAACATAAAATAGAAATGGGCCATCCCAGATCTGCCCCCAAAACCATTTAAGTCAGATTTTAAACTCTATTTGCTATTTATTTACCTATTTCTTAACTTAAATAAAACCCTCTCATACTCCTGGTCTCCCTAATGTCTTGTGGCAATGAGTTTCACATGTGGTGTTCGTTCTTTCAGTTTTCTCTTAATCACTTTTGAATGCTCTGGGGTTTTGTTTTTACCTCCTCCACAAGGTCTTGAACATTGGGACCATTTCTTCAAAGCCCATTCATATGACACCGAGTCCTCTTCCAAAACATTATTGTTATCTACGTTCAAGGAATCTTCATGGATCATGTACTTGTAAGTCAAAGATATCTTGGCACCACCGTGAGGAATCACCTAGTAAGCAAAACAGATGTAGGGA